TGGACCGATGACAGTCTGTCGCGATTGGTCGACTGCCTTCAGTTAGAGAGTGAAATGGCCAATAGCTAATCAGCAATTTAAAAAGTAATCACAGTTCATACACGCTCGATAGTGCAGACGTGGATTTTAGCTGCCACACTATGGCAAGTGGATAGTGCCACGGATAACCGAACGAAGGAGACAGTCGTGTACTGGCCATACCACACACACACAAAAACACACACACACCTCCGGATGACAACGCTCCCGCTTCCGCCCGCACCCGCCAGGTTTTAGCCTGAGAACCCGCTCCGTTTTCTGCCCGCCGCGCCCGGTCCCGCTAGAGCGGAGAACACAACCAAAAATCACCCAGTATACAGTCCAGACAGCCAAGCTGTCGTTCGTTCGTTCGCTCTCTCTCTCTCATACGCGCGCGTGCGCACTAACACACACACAAGCACCACGCAGACTCTCTCTTTCTAATTCGCATAGCAATATCCGTGATATTGCTAGACAGCCCGCTCCCGTCCCAAATTAAACCCGTTACCGACCGCTCCCGCGATTTATTCGGAAATTTATTCCCGCGGCTGTCCCCGCGCCAGATTTCTGCGGCGCGGGAATAAATTTCCGAATAAATCGCGGGAGCAGAACTCTAGCACGGAGCTCCATAAACAAACAGCACGCGTCGCGTTTTTAACGTGACTTTGCACGCGATAAGATAAAATATCCAGTTAACCTGATACAGTACACGCGGTTACAAGTAACAAATCACAACTAAATACATTTGCAAGCTAGAGTCAACGAGGCAACAACTTTAACCGCACGTACTTACACTTGAGAAATGGAAGAAACCCATCCTGACGTCCATCAGTAAGTTACTGATCCTTCCTTTAACAAACGCAGATGAAGTATTCTTTGTAGCATGTAGCTTCCAGAAGTTTCCAGTAGTTTCCAACTGCTTGGCTATAATGCTGATGTTTCATCTTTGGGTAGAGACTCAATATATCCATCTGCAATGTGACTTCAATCGACCGGCATGTTTGTGTGCGTGTGTTTGTGGGTGTGCGTGTGTTTGTGGGTGTGTGTGTGTCTGGGTTACTGCGTCAGAGGGCGGGGCCTCAGGTTTGAAATCTCCCGGGTTTGCGCGTGCACGTGAAAAACTTTGTTTCGTTCGTACGTCATGGCGAAACACCTAATGAGTCGGTATCAAGGCGACTCGTTTGAAGCACTATGAATCGACTCTTTTATAGATGAATCAACAGTTTTAAACACTGTATTCTTACAGATTTAAGCCTTAGCTGGATGCTTCACTTCACTTAGAGCTGTGTTACACACTACATGGAGGGGAATTTTCAAAAACCCATAATATGGGCTCTTTAATGATTGGAAAGAAATACCTTGGTGGAGGGGGCACAGGTCTCTGAACACTGAAACAAAGCCCATGAGCCTGGTTAGGTCCATGATAAGGATCCTGGCCGAGAATCACAACCTTGACCTGCCATCACAAGACAAAAATGTACTGGTGTCAGATATTATTCATTCGCAAAACACAGTTTCAATATTAATCATTTTATTTATCCACATTTGTGATAGTGATTTTGTGTTTGGTTTGCACAGTATTTTCCTTTTAATATCAATAATGCAAAAAAGAAACAACGTTTAGTAGTTGAGTTTGGTATTTCTGGTTAATCAGTCAGAACTACAAAGTATCCCGACTGCCAGAAAAATAAATAATTAAAATAACAACAACAATTCAGAGCATAAATAACAAAAAGATACAATGCAAAAAATGCAAACATAAAGATATGTGATACATGTGTGTGTGATTAACCCTTTATTGTTGGCGGGATCGAAATCTGTGATGTAGAGCGAATCTGCCAGTGGACTGATGAGGCATCGGTTTCTCATTATTATTCATAGCAGAGTTTTTGTATCCTATGAGAAGAGCCTGCTTCTTAATTATTCATGAGCGCATGTGCTTTCCGAAGGCAAATCGGCACGTTATCTGCACATTCATTTCCAATGAACGTTTGCAGCAAGCATTTTTGTCGGGAGAGCTGTATGAGAATTGGAGGATGGCAGACTTTGTCTTTTATCAGTTGAATTTGTTACCAGTCAGACACATCGCCTATATCTGTGCTGCTGTGTTCGAACATGTTTAAAACCCTCCAGATTACCAGCAGGCGAATGCTTGTAATACATAGGGCAGGAGACATGCTGAACTGCTCCACATCATCTGCATTCAGACCCGGTGATTCAGGAGGAGAGAAGTCCTCTTTATTTATAGTCTTGATAGAAACATGATTATCTTTATGATGATATAACAAATTGTAGTTTTGTGTTATATTATATGAACTAACTAATAATATATCTTATATGTAGCAGGGAATTAAATTACTTACTGTTTATTTATTTGGATTTTATCTTTGTAAACTATAAAATCATGGGTCTCCTCACGGTTTGTGTCTCATTTTTTAGTCTGATTTTGTGAGCCAATGGACAGTTGTTTTTCCTCTTTTTTCCCCTGCTCTGCAGGCCACACCCACTCCCCCCTCTGCTCTCAGCTCTCCACACCCATCATGGAGCATTTTTTGATAAAATTTTGAGGTGGACTAGAACTGAAAGAGGGGGGTTTATGGCCTATTAAACGCAAAAGCAGCTATAAATACCTTCCAATCAGTGTTTCTGAACCTTTATCTGACAATGTTTCATTAAATATTCCTAAAGATTTCATTCAGGGGTGGATTTAGTCAATGAATGAAGTAAGTGGGCGAGGCAGTGGCGCAGTAGGTAGTGCTGTCGCCTCAAAGCAAGAAGGTCGTTAGGTCGCTGGTTCGAACCTCGGCTCAGTTGGTGTTTCTGTGTGGAGTTTGCATGTTCTCCCTGCCTTCACGTGGGTTTCCTCCAGGTGCTCCGGTTTCCCCCACAGTCCAAAGACATGCGGTACAGGTGAATTGGGTAGGCTAAATTGTCCGTAGTGTATAAGTGTGTGTGTGGATGTTTCCCAGAGATGGGATGCGGCTGGAAGGGCATCCGCTGCGTAAAAACTTGCTGGATGGGTTGGCGGTTCATTCCGCTGTGGCGACCCCGGATTAATAAAGGGACTTAAGGCTGATTTATACTTCTGCGTCAAACACCGGCGTATGCTACGGCACTGACGCATAGCCCTTCGCCATGGCCGTCGGCGTCACTGACGTGCACCTCTCAAAAAATGTAACTACACGTCGCAACGACACGTAGTGCAAGCTCTGTGATTGGTCGGCTTGGTAGCGCTGACGAGTCTGGGTGGGACCGAGAGCCGCGCGAATGGCGCAGGCGATTGTTTACAAGTGTGGAGTCCCGTGAAGGAGCTCCGGATGGAAAGTTTTGTTTCGTGTTTACCTCATAGTTAAAGTTGTTGCACATCCGCCGGTTCCTGCCTCAAAATGAGCGAGTTTGAGCCACTTGTACATCCCGGAAGTGTTCAGGAATAGCAAAAAAGCCGCGAAGAAACTCGACACAGAGAAATATTAACACCTCACTGCCAACTAGCATTTCAGAAGTGTTAATGCAGAAGTATAAATGCACAGCCACGTGCATTGCATGCGCCGTGGGTTACGCCGGTCACCTGACGCAGAAGTATAAATCAGGCTTAAGCCGACAAGAAAATGAATGAATGAATGGTTGCAATTGGTTGCTTAGGGCCCACCCAAAAAATACTGAGAAGTATATATGATATCTATGAATTATATATTATTATTTTCCCTTATATTTTGTATGGTGAGGGTCTAATTTTTTTTTTATTTGAACCTAAGTATTACATTTGCTCAAATGTGTCCCCCACTCTTAATCATAGACCAGTCCGGCAGTCAAATCAGTAAAGATTTGGCTTTAAAAACAAAAGTTATTTGTAAATTCATTAAGTAAACAAATCTTTTCAAAAGTTTTACAAGATGCTTAACATGCTGGTATTATTTTGCATTATGACAAAATGTAGAAAATGAGATCAAATGATATAAGGAAAAAAACAGCAGGTAAATAAAAATGTATTAAAGTACAAAAGGGGCATAGAACTTTAAACCTTTTGGGCCCCATTACTGGAATTGCTTAAAGCCTCAAAATCACTAAATGCACCCCTGCTTTCATTTCAGAATTCAGTGATTTAACCGTGTTTGTCCTAATCTTTGCTTTGGTTTTAATGCAAGAGAACATGCAACTATACAGACAAGCCTTTAACAAGACATTAACTCACATCTTTAATGTCACAGGTTTGTGTCCAGGTGAAAACTGCATGTGGAGGTGGATAGATTGTGTGCTTTTTCCTTTCTTCGCCAACAAATGACATCAACTATGAAAGTGAAACAGGTGCATTATTCTAGTAAGTAAAAAGTAGTTTTGCCATTTTTTTAATGGTAAAGTTTAAGTTGGTTTTATATCCACACCTTAAATCTCCTTAAATCAGGGATGTCAAACTGAATTCCTGGAGGGCCGCAGACCTGCAGTTTAGTTCCAACCCTGATCAAACAAATTCTATATATGTCTCAAGCATACAAACATCAGACATCTACTAGGCTGTTTAGAGCTAGAAACCTGTGAAATTACCCAGAATCAATTCAATTCAGCTTTATTTGTATAGCGCTTTTACAATGTAGATTGTGTCAAAGCAGCTTCACATAAATGGTCATAGTAACTGGAACAGTGTAGTTCAGTTTTTAGTGTTTAAGTTAAGTTCAGTTCAGTTTAGCTCAGTTCAGTGTGATTTAAAATCATTACTGAGAGTTCCAACACTGAAGAGCAAATTCATCGATGTGTGGCTCTACCAATCCTGAACCATGCGAGCCAGTGGCGACAGCAGAGCGATAATCAAATAGAACAGACACACTCAAAGTACTGTTAAGTAATCTGTTTCTTACTCGAGGTTGGGTGTACTCTCAGCCCTCTTTATCTGGTTAAAAAACGATACAATTTAATACAAAGGAATTAACTTAAAAAAAAAAATGTAACACTTAAAATGGCTAATAACTAGCCATTCTACTATGCTGCTGAGGGGTTGATGATGTTTGCAGCACAGAATGACGCATGTCGCTGAAAGATTATGTAAAACTCACATGAAATCCGACATAAACGTTCACACTGCAATCGCATTGAAAAACATCAGATCTGTTATGAAAGTGGCACAGACCTGACCCTGAAAAGATCAAATTCCATGTGGTTTGTACACTGTCATGACCTGAGTCACATGAGGGGAAAAATATCAGATTCGGGCCACATTTGCCTGCAGTGTGAACGTAGCCTAATTGAGTCCTTGTTTGAAACCTACAGGTAGGTGTGTTGGAGCAGGGTTGGAACTAAGCTGTTCAGGGCTGCGGCCCTCCAGGAATTCAGTTTGACACCCCTGCCTTATATAATTTCAGAAAAGTATTCAATCGGGAAATAATTTCAGTGGCCAGTGACTATTGTTCACAGTCAATTACATAGGGCTAGTGTTGTTTTATAGTTGCATGCATGCAATTTTAGAGCGAATATTCAAAGCAGCTGCAACTTAGGGAGAGTGTCACAAGTTGTCAATGATTGTGCTAATATAAAACCAACTTTACCTCAATGTTAAAATGTGATTCTGACATACTGATTTAAAGTAGCTCTTCCCGAATTCAGCACTGAGGGCTTTCCTCCAGCTCTCTCCAATCCCGTCAGGAGCTGCACTCTGAAGCCGCTCCAGAGCCGCCTTCTTGTTTTTGGCGATGCGCTCCAACTGCTCAGGACTCAGGGGTGCCTCATTTCCGCTTTCCAACTTCTGTTTCTTCACCTGAGACGATATTTTTGTGTATTTTGTTAAATTACATTTTCGTTTGTAAACTATTCGTGGCATTTGTGCATTCAAAAAGCTAAGGAAAGCTAAGCTTGCAAACATTGTTTCATGGTATGTGTCACGCAATGCTTAAAATGTATCATTACGCCAAAAAAAATGTCACGTGAGAAAATAGTAACATTTGTAGCCGCAACCGAAGCATTTAGCCGCTAACATTGAGATTAAAGCTGACACTCGATAATTTTACGAGACATTTATGCATGTTGTTGAAACTAGTAATGGCTTTTGTTTTGTCACGTGACGTAAAAGTACTTCCGGAAATGTGTAAATATTTAGCGGGAACGAAAACTAGTTAGGTGTCAGTCAGAGCAAGCTCTATTTGCTTGCAAATAATAACACGTGCAAATAAATAAAGAAAGAGAAATAACTTTTTTTCATTCATAGTTTTGGTCAGAAATGCGACAATCGTGCGGTGCACAAACTTGCAGTGCAGCCGCGTTAAACTCACATCATCTCTTGTTTCCCCTGTATTTATCTCGTCAATATTCCTTTTCTTAGACGCTGGCGAAAAAAATGACTTGATGCTTTTCTGTCCGATCATTTCCACAAATAAAACGATTAATTAAACGCAATAAACATTAAAAATCAACACTCGAGTGTCGAGAGTGCACGCGTAGTAGCGTTTGAAGAGCTGCAACTCCCGCCAGACGTCTGACGTAGTGGATTACGTGAAGACGTAAGTCAGCGTGTGGAGGGTGACAAAAATTATAATAATAAAGTTTTATTGATACAGACAATAGTACAGAGAAAGCGTTCTGCTTAATAAATCTTTTACTTGCAATATCACATCCATAAATGCAAATTATCCAATAATAAACCGCTTTTCAAGGTATTCATAAAAGAGTTTAAACAATTTGAAACACTTTCCGGTTCAGGAAACACTAAGGATAGGAAAACATTATCTTGTCATGCCCTATTTAAAATTCCCCTTTACTTTACATGTACCTCTTATTTAACTTATTATATATTTTTTTCTTTACTGTTTTATCCCCCTGACATCCTCTATGTTCCTTCTATAGTTCATAATGTTTCATTATGCTGTAATAATTTACTGTTCAATGAAAAAATTATAATAATAATAGAAATAATAATAATAAAAGGCAGCACCCTGAGTCCCTAGTTCACTTGTTATGGCAATGCAGTTACTCTAGGTTGCTTTGGAAGGATTTTTCTCTTTTTTATAACTGAGAATGTTGATAAAGAATTTTCCTTACTATATTTCTTTGGTTTCATTTTGTTTGGTTAAAAAGAAAACATATTTTCTTAATCTTCTTATCTTATTAACAAAATGTTATATATATAAATGTTAATTTTCAAACCAAAAATCTTTTTTTTTATTTATGTTGCTGACTGAAATGAAGTATTAATTTGAAACAGTTTCTAACTCTTTTTCAAAAAAGGCTTTAAAAACAACAGAAATATGTAAATTATATAATCTTTTTCTTTAATGTGTAATGTCTATGTGTTTAATGTTCTGTTTGTCTCTTCATTTTCTTTTTAATACACTGTGATTGTATATTCTCATTTTCGCATAACTGAAAACTGACTGCATGCAGAATTGTTGCAAACTATTTATTTATGTTGAATTTAAACAAACAAATTAAGTTTAAAAATGTTCAACTTAATTTGTTTGTTGAAATTCAGCCCAAATAAATTGTTTACAACCACTTAACGTAAAAAAATTGAGTAAATCCAAGGAATCATCTTTGAATATTTTTTTTCAGTGTACTAAAAAAAAGGAAATAATAATAATATAAATAAATTGTAATATTACTATCGCCTCACAGCAAGAAGGTCGCTGGTTCGAGCCCCGGCTGGGTCAGGAGGCATTTCTGTGTGGAGTTTGCATGTTCCCAGTGATGATGGGTTGCAGCTGGAAGGGCATTCGCTGCGTAAAACATAGGCTATGCTGGATAAGTTGGCGGTTCATTCCGCTGTGGCGACCCCAGATTAATAAAGGGACTAAGCCAAAAAGAAAATGAATGAATGAATTCTAATATTGTTTCCTTATTTAGAGGTGTAACTTGGATTCCATATATGCCCATAATCAGTCTTCTCTGATGATTATCTGATGAAAATGTGGTTGAGAACACGGACAACAATCCACAGTGAAAAGACGACATCATAACAAACAATACCAAACGATATAAAAACAGAACCACAGCGACCCTGTGCGGTCATCCTGTGAAACAGACATTCATTGCAGCAAATAATGAGAAATAGACTACAGATATTCAACCAAACATGCGATAAATCATGCATTAAGGAGAACACGAACAACCAAATAATGCATGAGAGTTTCCATATAAAAAATGCACAGGCATACGTTTATTAAATTTTAGTGTCAAAAGCATAATGAGCCTTTTCCATAAGCTTTTACGTGTTTTCTAGCCTACACATGATGTGCACAATTAATTTAATTAAACATTTGTCATTTTTTTGTTAAAATAAGTGCAATAAACAAATAATGAATGCTCTAGCTGCCAAAGTTTAACTTGGTTAAACTTACAAACTTAACTTCACCAGCTGCCTTGAAAATGTGAGTCAACTCAACTTTGTTTAGATGCTGAGTTTTAGTTAAGTATTGTGAAACTCAACATCTTAAGTTGATAGTTATCTCTATTACAAAATGTTGGTGTTTTAGTTTAATTTGTAAATATTCATTTTTAATCTACATAACTATCTCTATAGTACTTTTTAAATATGCTTGATTGATTGTATAATTCTTGTGTTGTTGTTGTTTTTTTAGGTTGTTCAGGTACAACTTCATGTACTAATTCTGGTGCTTTTGCAGAAATGCTAATTAATGTATACTGTCCTTGCCAAATAAACAAATCAAATAAAAATAAAAACAAAAATAAGCAAAGAATCTCTCTAAACTGAGTTGACTTACATTTTCAAGGTAGCTGGTAAACTTGAGTTTAAAAGTTTAACCAAGTGAAACGTTTTACAGACGTGCTGAAATTAAAATATAAACGCAAAATAAATCCATATATTCGTCTAATTTAATTTAATCACTGAAAAGTGCTTTTAAAAATAAAATAAAACAAAATAGATAAATAAATAAATAAATAGCCTAAATAAATAAATAAATAAATAAAAACGAAAAGGTCTGGAATTGTTTGCAGATGCTACTTTTTATGTAATCTAATGTAATGAAATATGTGTGACCAACTGTTTATTCATAATTAGAAGCCTGAAATTTTGCATCTTTAATGAAAATTATAAATTTTAAGAATTGCAAAACCACGTTTCTTAATTTTATTCAATATATAGACTTCATGGTCTTTTTTTATATAAGAATAGTTACACCAAAAACAATAAATAGCTACCCAGAAATGAAACACTTCTTAGCCTAAACAAAAAAACAAAAACAAAAAAACAACTCATAATAATAAACAATGCATTTTATATTTTTAATCATATATCGTTTAATTGCTGTATTTTTGTGCGTATTTTGTCTAGAAAGCGCAGAGTCAACATTAGATTTAAAAAGTTTGTCAAAATTAAACAGTGGGTGTTGTTGAATAATTTTAGCACAAGTTTGATGAAGAATTTTAATCCACTTCCAATGTTGACGACTATTAGTTCAGAGCAGGGTGGCGCAGTGGGTAGCACAATCGCCTCACAGCAAGAAGGTAGCTGGTTTGAGTCTTGTCTGGGTCAGTTGTGTGTGGTGTTTGCGTGGGTTTCCTCCGGGTGCGCCAGTTCCCCCACAGCAGCAGAAGTTGACATGGAGTATAGGTGAATTGAAAAAAATGAATTGACCGTAGTGTGTCTGTGTGAATGCATTACTGTATGGGTGTTTGCCAATGTTGGGTTGCAGCTGGGAAAAACATATGCATATGCTGGATAAGTTGGCGGCAACTTTTCCCTGATGAATAAAAGGAGGAATGAATAAATCAACGAATGAATAAGCAAACAAATAGATAAATAAATGAATAATAATTAAATAAATGTATGAATGAATAAATAAATAAATAAACGAATGAATAAATAAATAAATAAACAAATGAAGGAATGAATGAATAAATAAATGAAAGAATGAATAAATTAATTAATAATAAATAAATGAATAAACGAATGAATAAATAAATAAATAAATAAATAAATAAATAAATAAATAAATAAATAAATAAATAAATAAAGGAAGGAAGGAAGGAAGGAATGAATGAAGGCCATAGCCTGTTGCGGATTTCCTGGAAGTGTTTGTGTTTCATCTCTTTTAGCGGCGATTGCCTGTTTGTCACTATCAGTAGGTCTTTCATATCAAAGTGCTTGAAACAGCCCGTGTGTGTGTATTCCAAACACAATGTAAGAAATTGGGCCACGATGTGGGTCAGAAATACACACACAATTTAAAATATGGCTGCAACTTTAGCCGCAAATACATCACAACGGGTTATGAATTATCCATATAGCTAAAATAAAGAAAGAGAGAAAGAAAGAAAGAAAGAAAGAAAGAAAGAAAGAAAGAAAGAAAGAAAGAAAGAAAGAAAGAAAGAAAGAAAGAAAGTTGTCTTTTGAGTAGGCTGTATAAGCTGACCTGAAAGTGATGGATTCTCATGCCAACAAAGTTCAAAAACGCACAGATTACTGAAGTAATCTCGGGTTTAGATTACTGTCGTACACCACTCTTAATCCGTAATATCATCCTTAGATAATAATATGTCCCTGGATATTAGAAAAACGTATCCAGGGAATCTACGCTGTAAAAACAATAGAGGTTATACATGTAGGGCTATATCAAAACAAAACACTTAACTGCTGCCTTAAATGTCGAATTAAATTTAAGCGCTGCGTTGTTCACAAATTACACTGTAAATAATGATGGGATCAACTCAATCGATTTGTATTTGGGCAACAATAAATTAATAATAATTCCACACGCAGGATCAAAGTAGGCTATTTTAACGTACGTTTTTACGATATCAAAGTACAGTGTATAGGGTATAATTAAAGCATGCAACAAATTGCTCGATTTGTGTTGGGGCAACAGGAATGAATTAGGTTAACTTACTAGAGACACATCGTTAACTGAATGCAAAAATCAAGATTGGAATTCTCAAAAATCATAAAAATGCACAGTAGTTTATGTATGTATAAGGCATAAAATGCATAAAAACAACCTTATTAAAGCGGTTAATAATAATAATGATAATAATAATGTAACAATATCCATACTGTAAAAAATAAGTTCACTTGATTGTTTTCACAAATTTAAGTGGATTGAACATAAAACAATTAAGTTGTCCCAACAAAACCTCAAGAATTGTGTTGATTCAGCTGGATTTAAATGAATAGTTTAAACAAACATCAATATTGAGCGTATCGCGATAAATCCCTTGCCATCCTGGTTTTAATTAAAAGAAACACAGCTGAAACACTTAGGAAAAATATTTAGAAGGCAGAACTCTCAATTACCAACATCATATATTACAACGTATGTATTTGAGAAATCAATTTTTATATGCTGTTTTTATTTTGAGGACTGCAGTATTTATATAGATCACTTTGTATTTTTATTAATCTACACTCAAAAATGGGCTGTTTATTTTAACTACTTGTTTAAAGTGAGTTGAAACAACACAATTCTTGAGTATTTTGGGGGGACAACTTAATCGTTTTTATGTTCAAATAACTTTTATTTGTAAAGACTAATAACCGTTTTTAAAAGATGTCTAATAGATGTCTAATATACGTCTAAACATAATCTAATATATGTCTACGGCCAAAACTACTAGTGATCAAATAAACAGAATGATAAGTCTAGTCTTTGAGGACTATTTTGGGCTATTCTTAGATGTCTATTAGATTTTCACTGACAGCACAAGTTTAGTTTATCCTTGTTTTAGCGGAGCTGTCTATGTTTAGATGTCTATTAGACGTCTGATAAACACAACATTTTTGTAGGGAAGTTAACTATTCCTTCATGTTACCTCAACGCAAATCCATTGTGTGTTGCATAATTTAGTCATTCATTTTATTTTCAGCTTAGTTTCTTTATTAATCCGGGGTCGCCACAGAGGAATGAACCGCCAACTTATCCAGCACGTTTTATTTTACGCAGCGGATGCCCTCCCAGCCGCAACCCATCTCAGGGAAAATAATTTATTTATACTCTATATTTTTAGATGGTCAAAACGTGCATTAAAATAGCCTACTTTTATTCAAAACATGAAGAAATATTATTTATTTATTTATTCAAAAACAGACAGGTGAAGTGTGTGGTTTATTTGCCTGATAAAGGATCTTGTGACTGTGACAGACATCGGCAGGACGCCCATCAGACTTCAATCTGAATCTCTGCTTTCCTGTTCACTGATAATATACAGGAGATGGACGTGGAGTTGCCAGACATGCTCGCGGAGGGATTACTTGACGCGTTTGCATGTGGGGAGGGGGGATCAAAGTTGAAAGCTTTTTTTTATTCCTCATCGACGACACCTTGAAGGGCGATACAGGAGCGGGCGGGTGTGAAAAGGGGCGAGTATATAGAAGGTGGGTTGAAATGCGCCGTAAATTCAGTTCAGCGTTGAATGTGGAAAGGATTGGATGCGGACGACTGCGCTTTATAACTTTAAACTTGTTCATTTTTTCCCCAGAATCTGGACTATGGCGCTATTTTATGACCAGTCGTTTGATTTAGGCCTAGTTCAGAAAATTAACATGGAGACAGAAAGTGATTTTATTTTCAACACAAATATGCTTCAGTTTACAGGTAAGTTTGCATTTAATTCTGTCACGACAACAAATGCTTTTATGTTTCTTTAACTTTATTTTGTAAATTATTCAGTTTTTAAGTACATTTTTTTAGCTATACTGAGTTACCATCAAGCATTTTTTGTTTTAAGAAGCTGTCTAATAGATGTCTACACTCAGAAAAAATGGTACAGTGTTTTACTAAAGACCCTTGTCACTGGGGCAGTATCTTTTTATTGAACAAAATTGTACCTTAAGACAAAGAAACTAATTTATATCATTGCAGTTTGAACGTTTAAGGACATGATGGGAAACCAAAATGTACATTTGGTTTTAAAAACCTGCAGACACAATACTCTGTACCGCATCAAAGGTACAAATCTGATCCATGAAGGTACCACTACAGTGACAAGACTCTTTCTACCTTAACAGTCAAATGTGTTTGTTCAAGAACTATTTAAAGGCATTTTTTCTATATCCAAAATGTAAATTTATTTTCAGTAAATATAAAACATAAAATACATTTTAAACAATGTTTGTTTTTTCCATTTCAAATAAAGTATAAAAAATACTTATTATTATATTTTGATAAACATTTCACAACACTTTTCACAAAAATGTTACAGAAACACATTCTCCCACACTAAAAAAATATTCAAAGATGATTCCTTGAATTTACTACATTATTTAAATTATTTTAAGTGGTTGTAAACAATTTATTTGGGTTGAATTTAAACAAACAAATTAAGCTGAACATTACTAAACTGAATTTGTTTGATTAAATTCAACCCATATGAATTATTTGCAACAATTTTGCAGACATATTTTTTTCAGTGCATGTACAATATAAAACCTTTTTTCTCCAATTATCATACAAAACCTTTGTAATCACTTAAAAGCACTTTTAATTTTTCTTAATTTTAAAATAGAATTATAATTATGCGTATGCTTTTGCCAGCTCATGTGTGTAGTGGAAAGCAAACGCCAAAAGGTGTGTATATCAATAATGAAAATGTATTTATCAGAAAAGGCTCACCAAATGTTTATTAAAAATGCCTTAAATGTTTAGTTTAATACCCACTTTATCGTTTTGTTTTACCAGTTGTTTTGTATTATAGAACTTAATAATTAGTGTTTATACGTTTCTTTAAGCACATGCTTTTAAATGATGATTCATGTTTTAATATGGGAATTACTCTTAAAATCACTTTGCCTTTCCAGTCATAACTATTATCATAACTATTGTAATAAAGAAGAAGTTGTCCAACTCTTTTGCACCTTTTCTGTGAGAACAAGCTTCATTTCAGTTGTACCATAAAAGGTACAGAAAAGTATCATAAGAGGTCTTTTCTGTAGAGCGTATGAGGTACATTTTTTACAAAGGTACAAAACTGTTCATCAAGAAACGTTTGCACCACTGCATACCTTTTTACTGAGAGTGTAATAGACGTCTAAACATAGTCGTCTTGGCTAAAACAAGGCTAAATTTGGGCTGTCAGTGAAAATCTAATAGATGTCTAAGAATAGGCCAAAACTAGACTAGTCATCAAATAAACAGTAGTGAATGACTACACATATAAAGTCTGTCTAGTCGACTAGTCTAGTTTTGGGCTATTCCTAGATGTCTATTAGATTTTCAGTGACAGACAAGGTTAGCTTGTTTTAGCTGAGCTGCGTTAGATGTCTATTAGACGTGTATTAAACACAAAATTGTTTGCTGGGTTTAACAATGTTCTTTGGTTAGTTTGACTGATTTAAGTTGAGATGACTCCAGGCAGGGAGAATTTAATAAGCTTGTCAGGTTAACTACATTTTTTTAGCCATAAAAAACGAAATTTCTGTAATGTTTTTTAACGTAGTATCTTTAGTTCAGGCGTGGCCAATCCTCAGGGGCGGACCGGGACTAAAATTCAGCCCTGGCACTGTTGCCACACCAGCCCACATTACCACACCGACACAGCCCCATCCACATTCACTATTTATTTTGGTGTAAAGATGGTGAAATAATATGACATTATTGCCAGATTTTGAATATGTCCGGGTAACCTTGGATTGGGTCAGCCCATCTTGAAACCAGGCGGCAGTTGCCGATTGGGCCAAATGCCTAACATTTATTATTATTATTATTTTTATTATCATCATCATAATATCACATCTAGCAAGCGATAAAAGCTGTCTGAACTTAAAAACAATACATATAAAAAAAAAACTGACCGGCCCACATTTAAAAATTGGTCCGGCCCTTCTGGCATTTGCCAGAATTGCCAGATGGCCAGTCCGCCCCTGCCAATCCTGTTCCTGGAGATCTACCTTCCTGCAGATTTCAGTTGCAACCCTTATCAAACAAACCTGTCTGTAATTATCAAGTGAATTTCAGGTCCTAATTAAATGGTTCAGGTGGGTTTGATTAGGGTAGGAGCTAAACTGTACAGGAAGGTAGATCGCCAGCAACAGGATTGAGCACCCCTGCTTTAGTTAGTTTGACTAAGTTGAGATGACAAAAAAAGTTTGATTTAACTAAAACAAAATAAGACAGGAAGAATTTTTTACATTGTATTTTGCATTGTTAGATTATTATTGTGGTTATTGTTGTTTTCTGAACATATTAAGGGAATGACTCTTAATCCAATATGGCAACCCGTATGGGCGACACTGTGGCGCAGTGGTTAGCACTGTCGCCCAACAGCAAGAAGGTTGCTTGTTCGAGTCCTGACTGGGTCAGTTGGTATTTCTGTGTGGAGTTTGCATGTTCTCCCCGTGTTGGTGTGGGTTTCCTCCGGGTGCTCCTGTTTCCCCCACAGTCTAAACACATGTGCTATAAGTGAATTGGATTATCTAAATTAGCCTTAGTGTATGAGTGTGTGTGTGAATACTAGTGTATGGGTGTTTACCAGTACTGGGTTGCAGCTGGAAGGGCATCCGCTGCGTAAAACATATGCTGAAATAGTTGGCTGTTCATTTCGCTGTGGCGACCTCTGATAAATAAGGGACTAAGCCTAAGGAAAATGAATGAATGAATGGATTATAATAGTTTAAACACTTTTATTTTCTCAAACACTTTACTAAACAAGTGACTTTTTTCCTTAGATGTGACAACCAAGCACATGCTGTCCTCTCCTGAACTTGACAGAACAGGCCACGTTGAGGGTCAGAGAAAAAGAAAGAGAACGATTTTCAGCCGAGCTCAGTTGTCAGAACTGGAGCGCGCATTCATGATCACACCGTATCCAGACATCACACTGCGAGAAAGACTAGCCGCGCTCACGCTGCTTCCAGAGAGCAAGATTCAGGTAATAAATCTCAAGAAAAACCTAAGACCTGAGACTTTCGATTCAACGTCAGAAGTCAAATTAAGATATTTTAGATGAAATCCTGGAGCTCTCTCATCCTGCATAGACAACAAGGGTCCGGTGATGTTCAAATCCAGACAATGAGCTAAAATATTATCCTTGTGGCTTCAATGTAGGGGTTAAACGACTTTAGATTTTTGGAGGTCGACTTTTATATCATCAAAGTCAAGTCGATGTCGACTAGTCGCTGGTGACGTCATCAATAAAACACAATATGTATATGTTTTGCAAAACGCCACAAACTGCGATTAATTTACTGGAAATATACACACATGCAGTTTGACAGCTCATAACACACTGCAAAAGCAATGCAACATTACCAATGACTAATTTTAGTGCAAAACAAATGCACTGTCGACCCTTTCATTTCATTAATAATGCAACATTAGCACCCTGGCTAATTTTACTGCAAAATAAATGCAGTCAACAAATTGATCACTGCACATTCTCTTAAGAATGTAACAATAACAGATATTATAGTGCAGGCGTAATGCATATGTCCTCAGCACGCAGATTCATGTGAAGTTATTCATGACATAATGCACGAAAGACAAAGGCTATAACGTTAAGCCTTATTACACTGTCAGAGACTTGCTCAGACGCATATTTTACCTCTTGTGCACGCTAAGCTGCTCCAAATCTTGCTCAAGTCGTTTTTCGCAGTTACTGACTCATCTTACTTATCGGACATGTCCTCGCTGCACATCTTCACCTTGTTTACCAGGGATGATGTTTACACTCACTGTGAAGTTTGTCACACCTTTATGGCCGAAATCGCGATTCTTGTTTTATTCACGAAATATGTCCGCGTCTACGCTTCGCAAAGAGTAACAGCCAATCACATTACTTTTCCAAGGTTGCGTAAATGTGATTGGCTTGCATCTGCTCTGGGGTATTTGCATGGAGTGATCTAACTGGCATCTGCTGGATGACTCAAAGTTCACGTGAATCTTTGACGCTGACTTGAGAAAAACATTTTAAGAATTACTTTAAATAATCGGAGGGCAGTTTCATTTGGTGAACCACCTTAGTGTGTAAATCTGCCATGTAGTTCAGGTCAAAAAACACATAATCTGCGCAGCGCAACTAGTCGATGTCAGTCAAACAGCATCAAGGCAGAGCATTAAAGTCGATTAGTGGACTAGTCGGTGCAACCCCTACTGTGGTTCAACTGTAATCATACACTGTAAAACCCAACAGTCAACTTTATCAAATGAAATGAGTTTAGTTGACTCAAAATTGACTGAAAGTTAATTCTACTCATTTGCAAAGAGTTTGAACTCAGTGTTGAAGGTAGTAAGTGTTGAAGGTAATGGGTTAAATGGTGTAAGTACTCAATACTCATATAGATTAGTTTTTTTTTTAACTCAAATGGTTTGTTGCAATCGGTTTCCTCAAATGGTTTGAGTTGCCTTAACTTATTGGGTTTTACAGTACTCAGTTGAGTTATCTTCATTTATTGGGTTTTACTGTTCTCAAAATTGCTTAATTTACTCAAATGGATTAAGTTGACTACTCATTAGGATTAGCTTTTGAACTTAAATAGTTTGCTGTAATCAGTTTTCTCAAATAGTTTGAGTTGGGTTTTACAGTGTACAAAGCTCCAAGAACACATTTGTGTGGCAAAAAAACTGTAAATATACGACTTTGTTCATTCTATATCTTCTCTTTCACGTATTTCCAGGTTTTTTTTCACAAATGTGTATTTGAAGCTTTGATTAGAGTTGATCCACTGTAGTCACATCAAATGTTTTACTATGGCCCCGTTTACACTGTCAGGTCTCGATGCCCAATTCCGATTTGTAGCCTGTATCTGATTTTCTTGCCTGTCCGTTAACACGTTATTTTAATTGTGACACATATCCGATTCATGTGTTTACACTTGCCATACAACTTACAAAGTTGCTCATGTGTAAAGGCGGGTTCTAGCGTTTGTTCCACACTAGCCACGATGGAAGAAATTGTCTTGCTTTTAGCTCTGCAAAATATGCGAAGTTCACCCAACTTTAAAATGAGTTTGAGGCGGAGGTGGGAAAGGGCCGTCATGGCAGCTTGCGCCTATGGTTCATATATGGTGTCCTCCATCATTCAGAGGAATTTGTGGGTACGAGAGAAATCTCAGGTCTGGTGGGAGCAAATTGTGGCGACTGACTACTTTCCTCTTCTATGTTTTCTCTGTTTTTGTCGTTTACCGCGCACGCTCTTCCTTCTACATCATTAAATCGCGGAGAAGTACCACAACGCCGCAAGTTTAATGATGAACAAAACGGAACAGCTCAATAAATCTGATCTGCCTGTTTATATGATAGTCGTATTGTCACTTATCTCATTTATTTCTACATATGAAAGAGGCCTGAAACCGATCTCTGAATAACCCAATGCATTCCTTTTTTTCGTGTTTACACGGTCATAGAACAGATCCAATCTGTGTCACAAACGAGCAAAAAATCGGAATTGGGTCACATTTAACCGGCAGTGTAAACGGGGCCTGTGTTATTTTCCTTTTCTGGCCCTCGAACGTCTCTCGACCGTTGCTGTCTATGGAGGAAGAGAGAGCTCCAGGATTTCATCTAAAATATCGTAATTTGTCTTCCGAAGACAAACGAAGGTCTCATGGGATTGAAACGACATCAGAAGGCAGTAATTAATAACAGAATTTTCATTTTTTGCCTCAACTAATCCTTTAATCTGTCTTTGTTTTGATATTTCATTCCAGGTATGGTTCCAAAACAGACGAGCTCGCAGTATGAAAAGCAAGAAACTGATTACACCAGTCAGCAGGAGGAGTCCAGCCAAAGACGTATGCACTGGTTGCCTTACTTTTTAAAGCTGAATCAAATTAACCTTATGGAATTATATTATGATAAACTGACTTAAAACAGCTTGCATAACTTAGTTTAATAGGTTAAACTGAACTAAAAACATGTTTTGTTATGACTGATTGATCACATCCTTTTTTTTTTACAGTGTACTTTTCCAGCAACCCATCCTGATTTAAACCTCGAACAAAGCCCAGAGGCCAACAAAAGCTTGCGTCATCATCAGCAAAGCCTTATTAGACAGGCTCTGAATCCCTGGCCACAAAATCGTCCGCCCATTTCTCCAGACCTACCAGAAATCCTGCAATGGGCAAACAGAAACTCTGAAACACCCGGAGATTCGTCTTTCTCCAGCTGCCCATCGGAAAGGATCCAACATCCGTTTCCGAACCAGTCCAGCAGTGTTTGGCAGATGAACTGCTTTGCCGCTCACCCTGAAGGCTTGAAGTCTTACTGTACTACTAGTCAGGCTTTGTATTCCTCCGTGTCTGTGGATCAAATGATTCCTGCACATCCAAGCAGTTTGGAGGAAGCTCTGCAAAGACAGGCTTTGACACATTATCCACAGACATCACTGGGAGATATTTCTGACCTCATATATAAAGCAGCTGTGGTCACTAATCTGGAAGAGTGCTAAACACTGGAGACTCTTTTGTAAAATATGTTTTCTTTCTAGAACTGACTTAAATCTGTAGTTGTAGTTGTAACATAGTCATTGATTTACACTCAAAACAACATAGGATATTTAGAAGAAAGCTGAAAACCTGTAACCACTGACTTCCATAGGATTTGTTTTTCCTACTATGGAACTCAATGGTTACATGTTTTCAGCTTTTTTCATAATTTACTCTCCCTTTACTTGTTTCAAACCTGTTTGAGTTTCTTTCTTCTTTTAAACACAAGATAAGATGTTTAGAAAGAAATCTGAAAACCGGTAACCATTGAGTTCCATAGTAGGAAAAACAAATACTACGGAAGTCAATGGTTACCAGTTTTCAGCTTTCTTCTAACTATCTTATGTTGTGTTCAACAGAATACAGAAACTCATAAAGGTTTGAAACCACACGAGGGAGACTAAATGCACCCAGCATTTTCATTTTGGGGTGAAAAAAATGTGTCTTTAAGGGAGATTTCACACCAAAACAAACATTCTGTCATAATTTACTCTCCCTTTACTTGTTTCAAAGCTGTTTGAGTTTCTTTCCTCTGTTAAACACAACATAAGATGTTTAGAAAGAAATCTGAAAACCTGTAACCATTGACTTCCATAGTTTGAAGAACAAATACTACAGAAGTCAATGGTTACAGGTTTTCAGCTTTCTTCTAACTTATGCTGTTCAACAAATGTCTCTTTAAAGGGAGATTTCACCCCAAAACGAAAATTCTGTCATAATTTACTCTCCCTTGTTTCAAAACTGTTTGAGTTTCTTTCCTCTGTTAAACACAACATAAGATATTTAAAAGAAATCTGGAAACCTGTAACCATTGACTTCCATAGTATTTGTTTTTTCTACTATGGAAGTCAATCGTTACTTGTTTTTTTAGCATTCTTTACATGATCGTATTTTGTTTTCAATTGAAAAAAAGAAACTCATGAAGGTTTAGAAGCACATGAGGGAGACTGAATAGTAAGGAAATTTTAATTTTGGGGTGAAAATGTCTCTTTAAAGGGAGATTTCACACCACAATAAAAATTCTGTCATAATTTAATCTCCCTTTACTTGTTTCAGACCTGTTTGAGTTTCTTTCTTCTGTTGAACGCAACATAGTTAGGAGAAATCTGAAAACCTGTAACCATTGATTTCCACAGTGTTTGTTTTTCTTACTATGAAAGTCAATGGTTACCGGTTTTCAGATTTCTTTCTAAATAGCTTATGTCATGTTCAACCGAAAAAGGAAACTCAAACAGGTTTAAAACATGTAAAGGGAGTATAAATTATGACAGAAGTTTCATTTCAAAATGAAAACTGACTCACTATTTATTTATTATTCTGTTGAACACAGACAAAAAGGTTTGAAACCACATGAGAGAGTAAATAATAAGTCAATTTTCATTTTAGGGTGAAAATGTCTCTTTAAGAGGAGATTTCACATCAAAACGAAAATTCTGTCATAATTAATACTCCATTTACTTGTTTCAAACCGGTTTGAGTATCGACACAGCATAAGAAATTTAGAAGAAATCTGGAGACCTGTAACTATTGACTTCCATAGAGTTTGTTTTTCTTACTATGGAAGTCAATGGTTACTGGTTTTCAGCTTTCTTCTAACTATCTTATGTTGTATTCGAATAAAGAATCTCATGAAGGTTTGAAACCACATGACGGAGACTAAACAGTGAGTAAAATTTCATTTTGGGGTGAAAAAAAAGTGTCTTTAAAGGAGATTTCACAACAACAACAAAATCTGTCATAAATTACACTCCCTTAATAAACCTTTTTGAGTTTAAACACAGGATAAGATATTTAGAGGAAATCTGAAAACCTGTAACCATTGACTTTTATAGTATTTGTTGTTCCTACAGAAGTCAATAGTTACAGGTTTTCAGCTTTAAAATATGCTGAGTTGAAACTCTAACAAAAATGCAATTTAAATGGAATAAATAAACTAAATCAAATAATAAGTAGATAGTGAGTACATTTTCATTTTTAATTGTCCAAGAATGTCTTTTTAAAGGGACATTTCACCCCAAAATGATTTTTTTAGGTGGTTCTAAACCTTTATGAATCTCTTTCGTCTGTTGAACACAAAAGAAGCTATTTTGAGGAATGTTGAACATCCATAGCAAGAACAAAAATACTATAAAAGTCAGTGGCTGTTTATTTTCACAACATTCTTCAGCATATCTTCCCTCGAGTCCAACAGATATTCAAACAATAAATGAGGACAGAATTGTCATGTTTGGGTGAACTATCCCTTTAATATCAGCCAACTTTACCAACATACAGTAGCTAGTTAGTATGTAGTTTACTAATGGGACACGTTTTGTCCCATTTTTTATTTTACTATTCTGTTAACTGCAAATGTACAAACGTAGTTTTAGTATCTTCCAACATATATTTAGGGATGATTGTTGATATTATTGTGAAACAGTTTGCTGACAGCACTCTTAAAAGGCCTGACAATTTAGTAAATTCCCTGTCATTTATTATTTTTTACATTCATTCATTTTCCTTCAGCTTAGTCCCTTATTTATCAGGGGTTGCCACAGCGGAATGAATCGGCAACTATTCCAGCATATGTTTTACACAGCGGATGCCCAGCTGCAACCCTGTGGATATTTATTTTAAAATTACATGTTTTTTAGTATGTTTCCTCTTTATTCTCTTTTCTCAGGATGTTCGTACGCTGTGTATTGATTTCTGTGTAAATAAATCTCTTGTTTATTTATTTATTAACATTCACCTTTAACAAATTAAAGGTATCTTTGTCATACAAACATGTTTATGTGTGGTGTTGTGCTCAAAGCTGCAGCAAAATAATAGTTTCCCCTCAACAATCTTCAGTATATCTTCCGTTGAGTCCATCAGATACTCAAACAATAAATGAGGACAGAATTGTCATGTTTGGGTGAACTATCCCTTTAATATCAGCCAACTTTACCTGCATACAGTAGCTAGTTAGTATGTAGTTTACTAATGGGACAAGGTTCCTCCAATTTTTTTTTTTTAGTATTCTGTTAACTCCTAATGCAAAAACGTAGTTTTAGTATCTTCCAACATATATTTAGGGATGATTATTATATATAATATTATAATAACTATAATATTATTGTGAAACAGTTTGCCGACAGAACTCTTAAGGCCTGACAATTTTGCAAATTCCCTGTCATTTATTATTTTTTACATTCATTCATTTTCCTTCATTTTAGTCCCTTATTCATCAGGGGTTGCCACAGCGGAATGAACCGACAACTATTCTGGCATATGTTTTACAGCGGATGACTTTCCAGCTTCAACCCTGGGGATATTTATTAAAATATTTACATTTTTATTCTCTTTCCTCAGGATGTTCGTACGCTGTGTATTGATTTCTGTGTAAATAAATCTCTTGTTTATTAATTTATTACCATTCACCTTTAACAAATGAAAGTATCTTTGTCATACAAACATGTTTATGTGTGGTGTTGTGCTCAAAGCTGCAGCAAAATAACATTTCTTTGTTTTGCTAAATAAATTTTTTTACATTGTTGTAAACAAAAATCTATTTGGACCAGTGTCTTATTAATAACATCAAAAGCATCAATGGTATAATCTTAAATACGAGACAACCACATGCGATATAATGTGTGTTTCATTCCAGCATGAAAAAACAAAACAATAAAATGGAAAAACAAAACAATAAAAGCAAGATAACATTTAAATAAAAGATAAAATTAAAACCCCCAGGGCTCATGTTTCATCAGCTTATGGGTCTTAGATTACATTTGGATTTTGAAGATCCAAGCAGTATATTGCTAGCGCAGTAATTATACAGGGACCTCGGGTTTGGACTGACCCACCGGACACTGATCTCCATGTATCATAATCATCTCCCCAGCAAAAAATAATCTTCAAATAAAATATAATAAATTCCCATAATCCTAGTGTCAAATCTACAGTCATGCTCTGCTTTGTGTGTCAGCCTGTATTGTCTGTGCTCCTACATCCTTTAATCCAGAGGAAGATATTGAAGGGATATGTGCTTATATTGTTAGAATCAAAACAGGAAATATTATAATAATAATCACAGGTTGATCGGTACACAATGTTGGGTGATCCTGAGGAACTTTCTTTTAGACGTTTCTTTTAGCACAAGGTGGCAGTAGAGGTCACCTCTGAGATGTTTAATACACAAACATTCCTAATATTACTATGATCAATGTATTTATCCATACAAATATATTAATAAACCCCTAGAAACCACATTGTAGTTTGTATTTTTTTAATCTGAGCACGGTGGCTCATTGGTTAGCACTGTCGCCTCACAGCAAGAGGGTTGCTGGTTCAAGTCCCAGCTGGGTCAGTTGGCATTTCTATGTGGATGATCTCTCTGTGTTGGCGTTGGTTTCCTCTGGGTGCTCCGGTTTCCCCAACAGCCTAAACACATGTGCTATAGGTGAATTGGATCAGCTAAATTGGCTGTAGTGTATGAGTGTGTGTGTGTGTGAAGGATTGTGTATGGGTGTTTTCCCGTGATTGGTTGCAGCTGGAAGGGCATACGCTGTGTAAAACATATGCCAGAATAGTTGACGGTTCATTCCCCGGTGGCGACCTGTAAAATAGAGACTAAGCTATAGGAAAGGGATATAGAATAAGGAATTTAGATTTTGTCGTTCCAGGAAACTCACAGTATAATATTACATTATTATTATTATTATTATTATTATATTATTTTTATTAGTTTAATTATTATTATTATTAATATTTTTATTGTTATTATTATTATTATTATTATTATTAGTTTAATAAAAATAATAATTATTAGTATTATTATTATTTTTTATTGTTGTTATTCTTATTTTTATTCTTATTCTTATTTTATTCTTATTTTATTATTATTTTGTTAATTGTTTTATTATTATTAATTATTATTATTTTTTATTATTTTTATTATTAATATTATTATTTATTTTTATTATTTTTGTTAATACTAGAATTATTATTATTATTATTATTATTATTATTTAGGGTTTCTGCAAGTTTCTTCAGGTCAAATTTAAGACCTTTAAAAGCCCTTTTAAGACCATTAAGAATCACATTTTAAACTTACACAGGGTTAAACACTAAGGATGTTTTTTGATGACCCGGTATTATCATAAGGAATCATATAAGTTTTCTTTCCCTGATTAGGAAATTTAATGGGGAATTTGCTGCAAACATGTCAAACAGCTGTTGTGAGTTGTATTTCTTTACAATAAAAACCTAAATGTAGAAGAATAAGGCTGTTGAGTTGTAATGTTGGTGATTGGATAGATGTTGGTCCAACTGATAGCTTTTACTTGGACAAAGCAAAATTAAGGTTTGTTTAAAATTATTTAAGACCTACAACATAATATCACAGTGAATTTAAGACTTTTTAAGACCCAGCGGACACAATATTAATATATCCATAGTCAGTTTATTCCTTTTATTTTCTTTTATTAAATCTTACGTTGTTTGCAGCAGTGAGTCCATTGTAAATCTGTGATAATAAAGCAATTGTGTTTTTTTCAGAAGAGTGCTTGACTGATTTTTTTTATTACACCTTTATGAACATTTTAATATATTAAAACATAAATAGGTTCAGAAAACATATGATATGCTAGAGTAGAGAATATAGAGCACAATTCAACAAATAAATAAATAAATAACTCCACTTCACTTCCTAATCTGCAATTGCCACTCTGGATATACCACTAACTGTACTCAAAAAAATAAATAAATAAATAAATAAATAAATAAATAAATAAATAAATAAATTACTAATGCTTTTCTTCTTAGACTTTACAGACCTGAAACTTGCCTACAGCACTTATTCATTGTTGCTCTTATAGTGGTGTAAATTGCTTCCTTGTCCTCATTTGTAAGTCGCTTTGGATAAAAGCGTCTGCTAAATGACTAAATGTAAATCAGCAATTTTACCATATGGTGGCATGCCATGCACTTGCTACGAAAAATATGCAGATCCATATAAGTATAGATATTTAGACATATAGTTAAAGTCAGAATTATTACCCCCCGTGTTTATTTTTCCCCCAATTTCTGTTTAACGGAGAGAAGATTTCTTCAACACATTTCTAAACATATAAGAGTTTTAATAACTCATCTCTTATATTTTATATTTGCCATGATGACAGTAAATAATATTTAACTATATTTTTTTCAAGACACTTCTGCTTAAAGTGACATTTAAAGGCTTAACTTAACTATAGGTTAACTAGGCAGGTTAGGGTAATTAGGCAAGTTATTGTATAATGATGGTTTGTTCTGTAGACTATCAAAAAATAGCTTAAAGGGGCTAATAATTTTGACCTTAAAATAGTGTTTAAAAAAAGTGTAAAAACTGCTTTTATTCTAGCCGAAATAAAACAAACAAGACTTTCTTCAGAAGAAAAATATTATCAGACATACTGTGAAAATTTCCTCGCTCTGTTAAACATCATTTGGGAAATATAAAAAAAAATATTTCAAAGAGGGGCTAATACTTCTGACTTCAACTGTATATTAATATTATAAAAAATGTAAACAACATTTATTTATAAAGTACAAAATTCTGTTGTACTTTTATAGAAATGTTCTGTATAATGCACAACAAAAAAGCATGGATGCATTCTGCTCAAAAATCTTTTTCCACGAAGCAACATCTTGTCAAGCTGTGGTAAAAAAGATTAAACAAATTTCCTGTGTGAGCACATGAAATTGAGTGAAAACATATATAGACATCTTAATGTAAACGTATTACCACATCATCATCATCATCATCATCATTTTTGGATGCAATGAGCGCTCAGATCTAACATTGTACCATGAACAGCATCACAACAACAAAAAAAGAAAACTTCTAGTGCCATCTAGAGGAAAAGTAAAGTAAGTACGCAACAGAAATATAAAGGAAACATGACCTGGTAGCCAGCCTGGTGAAAGATGTGGTTGCAGCCTTTTTGCAGTTATTAGCCTCATTTTTTATTTAATTATGAGGTTTAAGCCCTATTTTTGCTGGATTAGCTTGTCTTTTTTTTTTTTTTTTTGCAAAAAACAGTTGACAAGTTAGTATTTCTTTACAATACAGAATATGAATAACATTTTCAATGAAAAAATATACAAGAGAGATAAAGAAAAAAGAAGAAATAAAGAACATGATATAAACTTGAGAGTAAGACATTTAAGAATCAATTACAGTACATAAATTAAAGTCATTACAAAATGAAATAGATAATAAATTAAATTAATGCCCTTCCAGATGACCAGCTAAAACCAGCTATGTCCAGCTTAAACCAGGACGGTCAAGCTGGTTTAAGATGGTTTTAGCTGGTGACTTTCCAGCCTGACCAGCTAAGACCAGGCTGGAAATGGCTGGAAACAGCCTGGAAGTGGCCAAAACTCCTCTAAAACCAGGCAGGTCGACCAGCTAAAACCAGCCAGCCATCCTAAACTGGTTTAAGCTGGATTTTTCAGCGTGGATAAAAACGAAAACTTGCACTTTCAATTTTAAAAATGCAAACATTTACAGATTTGTTATACTGTAAATAAATGCTGGGTTCCACACAATCCCTTCATGTTGCCCCAACACAACATGACAAGTTAACTTAATTGTTTGTACAAATTTAAGTGAATTGAACATAAAATATTTATTTACACACACACACACACACACACACACACACACACACACACACACACACACACACACACACACACACACACACACACACACACACACACACAGAAATGTATGAATTGTGTTGTTTTAACTTATTTCAAAGTAGTTTTAAGTATTTATTTTTCTGTTGACTGACCATGCAGTGACTGACCCGAGAAAGGAGATTGACATTGTGCATTAAATCCTTCGCTTCACATCAACCAAGTGGCACTTTACTCACCCCATAGGCTAAGTGATTGTGCCTTTTTAAATCAAGAGAAACAAGGCTTGTTGACAAAGGCTGAAATACGATCCAACACATACAATAGCTATAATCAGTTTTATTGCTTACCTGCGGATAAATCGTAAACATGTAGGTGACCGTATTAATATTAAAAATTGTTTTTTAGCTGTTCAAGACGGCCCACTTGCTCATTTATGTATTCATATGGGTTGTTGGCCTGACATTGAATTTTCCCTGTCACACATGAATAAACAAAAATGAAAATAATTTGACCATTTAAAATGTTGTGAGTTGTTATACATTTAGTCTTCCATCCATGTTGACTTATAAATGTAAAATTAAATCGTATAATAATTAATAAACATATCCTAATAATTTTAATAATGCATAATAATGGCTATTTTAGCAGCCTAAATGGCAAGATCTTTTCATCCATATATTCAACAACAGACTTTACATGCCAATTTGCACATAACAGCTGCACATATAACATTGTATATAGTAATATAGCTCTACATACACTTGTCTATTTGTATATTTTTGCATTCACTACTTACTGCTTTTTTAGATATTTATTATGTTTTTTGTCCTGTCTCTGTAAATTCTGTTGCACTGTAGAAGCTCTGTCACTAAA